TACATTATGTTGTGTTCTTGGGCAAGACACTTTACTCTCACGGTGCCTCTTTCCACCCAATGTGTATAAATGGGTAACGGCAAATTCAATGCTGGGAGGTAACCCTGCGATGGGCTAGCATCCCATCTAGGGGGGAGTAGAAATACTCCTGGTCGCTTCATGCTACTGAAACTGGGATAAGCTCCCTCCTTATGAGCGACTTGGGTCGTATGCAGACTTTACTTTTACCTTTATAATATCGCGTTAAATGGTCTGATTTTTTTCACAATTGGTCATCTTAATTATCATTTCACTTCAAGTTGTTTCATGTTCTTGCTTCCCGCTTTACGACAAAATCTAGAAGTATCACAGAAGACTAAACAGAGCAGCTTCTGCGAGCAGGCCTTGATTTTTTTTTCTAATTAAAATTAATAGATATCTTTTTTTGTTTAGCCGTCAGTTGTAAGGACATTGACCTTATCAACTGTCCCAAGTGGGCCTTTTATGGTGAATGTGAAACAAGCTCATGGATGATAGATAACTGCGCGAAGAGCTGTGGAGTCTGCGGTAAGTATGAGAATGCGAAATTTTAAAAAAATCAGCTTAGAAACCAGCATTCGTACCATTCGTCCCATTCGTGCCATTCGATCGTCCCATTTCACCCATTTTCCCCATGTCTCTGTCAAGTTATAGAAACATGGAAGTCACAGCAATTCTGTTTCGACTACCAGCTCGTGAATGGTTATAGTGGTTAATAGAAATTAGTCTCTCGCTNTGTGTATAAATGGGTACCGGCAAATTCAATGCTGGGAGGTAACCCAGCGATGGACTAGCATCCCATCCAGGGGGGAGTAGAAATACTCCTGGTCGCTTCATGCTACTGAAACTGGGATAAGCTTCCTCCTTATGAGTGACTTGGCTCGTATGCAGACTTTACTTTTACCTTTATAATATCGCGTTAAATGGTCTGATTTTTTTCACAACTGGTCGTGTTAATTATCATTTCACTTCAAGTTGTTTCATGTTCTTGTTTCCCGCTTTACGACAAAATCTAGAAGTATCAAAGAAGACTAAACAGAGCAGCTTCTGCGAGCAGGCCTTGATTTACTTTTTTTTTCTAATTAAAATTAATAGATATCTTTTTTTGTTTAGCCGTCAGTTGTAAGGACATTGACCTTATCAACTGTCCCAAGTGGGCCTTTTATGGTGAATGTGAAACAAGCTCGTGGATGATAGATAACTGCGCGAAGAGCTGTGGAGTCTGCGGTAAGTATGAGATTGCGAAATTTTAAAAAAAAATCAGCTTAGAAACCAGCATTCGTGCCATTCGTGCCATTCGTGCCATTCGTGCCATTCGTNTGCCCTTAATGTACATTTTAGGATGCAAAGACGAGTCTACCAGTTGTCCCGCATGGTCAACAGGTGGTTATTGCCACACGAACCCTGACTTCATGTTGGCGAACTGCCAGTTAAGCTGTAAAGTATGCGGTATGTTAATTAATATTTATTACTTACACCACAGTCCATGCCGTAGATATTAATGATATCACAGGCCTCCCGGCCTCGTAGAATTACTTTGCAAACTAGGTATTGAGCAGTATGTTTGAAATATATTAACGCTAAATAAACGTTAAATAACAGATTTCTCGGAAGGGGCGCGTCTTGCACAAGTCATCTTCAGAGTCGAGACCCTAGGGATGACTTCCGCTCAGTTTGTCGAGACGTCAATCACCAACAACAGTTCTTTGAGAACTACCCTCGCCAAAACGATCTCCCAAGACGAGCAAAAAATACCCTATTGATGAACTGAAGAGGGAACAAAGGGGACCACCAACTTATTTAACTCATTCAAGAACGAAGAGGATTTCCTAAAATCTTGTCCAAATCTTTCGCTTTATATTATCACCGTACCGTGGTAGTTATTTTTCACAGTTCTGGATCAAGACTTTTCTTAGTTTCCTGATGGGGGATATAAGCAAATTCGTTGGGCAGTATTTATTGTATGATATCTTGTGTGTTGCTTTTTGCTCTATAAAGTGCATTACCCTAATTTTCTTTCACAGAGTTAGTAAGTCCATCCTACTTCAGTGATTGAGCGTTGCAGTTTCACTTTGATGATGTTCGTTGTCAGCTCGTATTTTTGTTTTTCAACTTCCAGGTTGCAAGGACCTCGATTCTTCGTGTCCTTCGTGGGCGCAAATCGGAGAGTGCGGCAAAAATCCTTCTTTTATGTTGGAAAGTTGTTGCCATTCTTGCCGTAAGTATATCCTGTTTTAAATGATAACATAGCAGTGTGAAATTCACGTTATTACCCAAATTATTTCTCAAGATTGAGGTAAATTTCATGTTCAAGGTTAATTGTGTAGCTCGACTAACACTGTTTTTTGTTAGTCTTGGTTAAAAGTTCATTCACCCACTGTTACCAGAACATGGTTATCACCTCGCTGCTACTTAGACTCCTGACATTCGTGATGAATGCATCATCAGTCACAAAAGAGAAGATAGTAGTCTGAGAAACTCGTTAATAAGCAGTCGATTATGCAGCCAGAGAAATATATCAGCCGAAGAAATAGACAAAGAGGTATGAGCCCGTTCGTGACGGGCTGTTTGGCAACTTCGTTACCGTACATTTCTTTTCTTTTTTTAAAGGATGCGAGAATTGGGACAAGACTGAAAGCTGTGACGCATGGGCGTCCCTTGGTAACTGTAATTCAAACTCTGCCTACATGCTTAATTACTGCAAAAAAAGCTGTGCTGTATGTTAGAGACGGGCTAAGGCATCGGGCTGGGTGCTGCTATTTGTAGGAAATCATATGAAGGAGAGTATATTTTGTGAGTGAGGTTTTAAAAGTTCTTAAAATTACACAAACTTTGAGCACAGTTTAAGAACTTTAATAAGCCACAAATCACGAAATGCACGAGCAATTCATATGCGATTTTGTTTATAATATCCTCAACGAAATTTGGCCTCACCCAATACGCTACTTAC